CTTAAGGGGCAAGACTGCTGTTCCCTTCTTGTGACAGCTGAACATCATTTTCAGCCTTTTCTCATTCACTCCCCAGCAGCTATTCTCTCTTACTGCTAAAAATATACTCCACATTCCCCACCCCATCCCCACTTCTATTTTAAATATCACCAACGCCTCCTGGAAAGCCCTCCCTCTCTCTCCTCCATTTGGGTGGGAATGCTGCTCTCCCAGCAGACACACCCACTGATGTCTCTCCCTTGTGGTCTAGTGTCATCAGGGGCTATTATTAAGGACAGAAATAGGTCCTCAGACTCTGCCAACCTCCTTCAGATCCTTCAGTCTAGGAGTGCTACTACATCTGTGACATCATATCATTTCCTGCAGTGCCTGCTTATGATGTCACCTGCCAACCGACCCCTCATCCCTCATGCCTCACTCCCCAGCTGCAAACTTTCCCATGGACTCTGGTGCCAAGGACATAGACCTTCACACATGTCCAAGAGAAATGTTTAGCATGGTATACACCAGAAATAAAACACCACCCAGAGAAGCAATTGGGGATTTCTCTCCATGTTGCCTTTTCCTCTTTCCCTTGTCTGGCTACAGACCTCATCTCCCCAGACAGCCTGGTGGAACCCACACATGCCATCACCCGCCTGCAGTATAGAGTAAAAAGCAAAGCTCAGCTGTTTTTTTTTTAAAAAAAAATGTAAGTTTCCCACACCCACATGGCAACCCAACTCAACCCAGTCCAGTGGTGAAGGATATATGTGTGTGGTCAGGGTGAGGATGATAGTGGGGGTGATGGAGCTGGCTGATCCATCTTAGGAAACTTGATTTTAGAAAAATGCTGAGTCTCTGGATCAAAGTTGGGGCTCTGGGGTAGCATCAACTCCAAATGGCAACTCTTCCTGACTTCCTCTCCCGCTCATCCTCTTCTACCTCAGGGTGTAATTGCAATTCTCAAAGCCGTTCAGGCATCACTGAGAAAGTATGAGGATCTACTATCTAAGTTCCATTGCAAGAATGTTTATTCATTTGACTTTTTACTCATACAAAGAGACTGTGGTAGAGTGCAGGCACAGATCCTCAGTTCAAATCCCAGCTCCTGTACTTTTTAGACAGGTTACCATGAGCTAGTTCACTTGACTTCACTGTGATCCATTTTCTTATTTATAAAACGGGGATGGTAATATGTTCCCTATCTCACAAGGTCATGTAAAGATAACATTTTGTGAATATTAAACCACTATGGAAATACGAGTTATTATCATTATACTATTTTCCACTGTCTTTTAATTGGTTCACATGTGTTAGACATGTCTCACCAAAGATACATATACTGACTTTGTATTCTCCACAGCAGAGCAAATACCTGGGTAACTGTTACCCATTATTTTTAGTGACTAAGATCTCCACTCTTATTTATGGAAGGAATAAATATTCTGCTTATGATTCTTGACAAAAATCTGGCTTTGGTTCATTGGTGTCTCATCAAAAACAAAGTTCATCCATTTTAGTGAAGGGTATTATGGACAGGACTCCAAAGGAATGGATAGAATTGCTGGGGACACAGTGGATAGAGAACTGGACTCAGAGTTGGGAAGACCTGCATTCAAATCCTGCCTCTGATACTTTATTATCTGTGAGACCCTGGACAAGTTACTCAACCTCTTAGCCTCAGCTTCTGTAAAAAGGGGACTAAAAATAGCACCTTAAAAGGGTTGCTGCAAATATCAAATGAGCTAATATGTGTAAAGTGCTTTGCAAACTTTAAAGTGCTATAGAAATGCTATTATTACTGTTATTTTTATTATTATCATTATTAGTTGGTCTCCAAGCTTCTTTGCCTAATCAAATGATCCATGTTTGAGATCTAGTGGTGTATAGATGGCCAGAATGCAACAGGCAGCTGGGGTGGAACACTGATCAGGTCTTAATTAATATGCAACAGGTATAAATTAATACTTTCTTTTCTGGACTCCAGGAGAAAGGAGACTAAGAGCCTGAACCACAAATCATGAGCTAACCTTAGGCATAGGCCCGATCGGTGGCTGCCTCTATGGTATGGTTCAGACAGTGATGAAAGTATCCCTCCTTCTCCCCTTTCTCCTCCCCAAATTACCCCCTAGGACTGTTTTAGTGCCTGAAAGGGGCATATTATTCACTCCAGGGGAATATGGCAATTAAGGTCTGTTAAAATGTAAATGTTATTTTGGATAAACAAGCACATTAATCATTATCAACAACTAACACTTTAGTTTAACTAGTTTATTAGATGCATTAGTATGGCATGTCACCTAGGAGCACTGGATAATCAAAGGAATACTAGATTAAGAATATGAAGACCTGAGTTCTCATTTTCACCTTACCACTAACTAGCTTTGTCCTTTCAGGCCAGTTATATACCCCCCCATCCCAAGCCTCAGCTTCCTTGTGTGTGAAATGAAAGGGTTTGTCTAGGTGATCTAAAAGCTTCCATGAGAGACTCCAGGGGACTGAGCCATAGGGCAAGTAAACATGAGTGAAATAGAGGAGGAGCTGAGGCATGGAGCATTGCCTGGGAGCCAGCTCTGGATGGGGTTTCATAGTAGATTTCAGCAGGATTGAAGACTAGAGGCTAAGGATGGATGGGCAAGAGTAGGAAAGACAAATTTCACCTATTTGAAGGTGTTTTGGGAAAGATAGTTCAGCCCAGGTACCCCTAAAGCTTTGAGAGCAACCTTGATTTGCAGTATTGGCATCTTAATTGGGGGTAATATGAGGGTAATAAGATGACAGAGAGAACTCATGGAAAGCACATTTGAAGTATTAATACAACTTGATTACCATAAGTAAACTCTTGCTTTGTGCCCTTGTAGATCCGTTTGAGTTTATGAAGAGGCTCAGGGATACAGGGAAACATCAAACACCAAGAGGAATGGGGCTCCCTTCTTAGGGGCTCTTCCTGCAGTGTCTTAGAGAAGAAACCACAAACTTGGAAAAATCGAACATAGCCAAGTAGAAGTAGGAGACAGAGTCTGTGAAAATCCATTCTCAAAATGAAAGGAGACTGATAAATACTACCAGCAGCTTCTGCCTTGAATGGAGGACAGAGGTTCACTGAGGGCGTGGGCTCTTTTAAACACAAAGCCGACTTGGGGCTGAGGAACAATGGATCCTTACACATGGCCAACATAGGGTAAAAAAGAATCTTTCTTGCCTTGGGTTGGCAATATAATTTCATACTAAATTTACTGTGGTTTATGTAATTCTTTTCATTCACACCAGAAGGAATTTCTCTGCTGTTTCCCTTTTCAGAAGCTTGGAGACTGCATATCTTTGCAAAATGGATTTTAAAGAAGAAAAATAACACAGGGGGAAAAAAATTAAATCAGAAAAGTTCCCAAGTTTTTCAACTCCTGTTGAGCCTTGCTTCCTGTGCTTCCAGAAAAGATGTTCTAAATGTTATTGGAGGGACTGTTGGCTCCAAAGGCTGAGGGTTTTCCAAGAAGGTGAACTTCAAAAATGAATATTTCAACTAAGGGAATGTCAAGACTCCATCTTTGGGTCCTCTGTGTTCTAGGTGAGGGCAGGTAGGAAAAAAGGTGAATCTCTGAAAAGCCCCTTGCCTCTCATCACTATCTCCTTCCCCAAGTCCTGCAAAGGTCACTGGGAAGGAGAATCCTCATCAGCAAGAACTATAGGATAGTAAAAGGGACAAAAACCTGAGATAATAATGCTGGCTGTAGAGTCTCTTTTCTTTGAAACTACAGGACAGAGAGCTACAAGTCTCAAGCAGAACTGCCCAAGAACGTGGAGAGAGATGAGACATCCTCTTGGGTTGTCCTGTAGCCCTAGGACTCTGACTGCCTATGAATAGAAGGATAACCTTTGCTAGCCTCTTAGATTGAGTGTCGTGACTCATAGAATTCAACAAACTTTCACTGAGCATTTACTATGTGCCAGGAACTATGCTAGGTACTGGGGATAGAAAGAGAAAAATGAAACAGTCCCTGCCCTCAAGAAGATTATATTCTGCATAGCATATAAAGTATGTACACAGATAAACAAATACAAAATATACAATGTCATAGCCAAAAGGGACCTTGGAAATCATCTAATCCAATCTTCTCATTTTACAGATGATGTAATTGAGTCCCACAGAAATGAAGTGACTTGTCCAAGGGCCCAAAGTTAGTAAATGGCAGAGTCAACAGTGGTACTCAATCTTATGGTTATGCCACTGATGTCCTTTCCAAATATAAAATTCTGCAGTGTTATAATCCTGTCTTTAGAATATCCATCCAGTACACTTTCTGCACTATGTTTCCTTCCCTTTTCTCCTTCGAGAAGCCCAGAATCAGGACTAGAGGGAGATCCAGGCTAGTTTCCAAAGTGAGTTCCTATCTTAGGAGTAATAATTAAGTTGAGGTTCATGTTTAGTTTAGATTGTTTTTTTGCCTTTAAAAATTATTTTTAAGGGGAGATCAAAGACAGAAAAGTCTGTTATACAACAAAATAATCACAGCAGTACTTTATGTAGGAGCAAAGAACTGAAAACGGAATAGATGCCCATTGATTGGGGAATGACTAAACAAATGGTACAGGAATATAATGAAATATTACTGTGCCATGAGAAACAACAAATATGAAGAATTCAGGGACATGTGGAAAGATTTTTATGAAGTAATAGAGTGAAGTGAGCAGAAGCAGGAAAACATTATACATAATTATTTTTTTCACTCATTTCTGTTGTGTCCAACTCTTCATGACTCAATTTGGAATTTTCTTGGTAAAGATACTGGAGTGGTTTGCCATTTCCTTCTTCAGCTCATTTTACAGATGAGGAACTGAGAGAAATTGGTTAAATGACTTGCCCAGGGTAGCACAGCTAATATGTATCTGAGGTTGGATTAGAACTTGTCAAGATGAGTTTTCCTGATTCCAAGCCTAGCACTCTATCCATTGAGCTACCTAGTTGCCCGTGCATAATTATTACAATGATATAAATAGAAAGAACAAAAAACGTAGCTGAATACCATTTAATTATAAATACCAAGGTTGTCCTCAAAGAATAGATTGAGAAAATGTACTTCTGTCCCTTTCTTGCAGAGGCAGAGGACAAAAGGTGTTGAATATTACATATCCTCTAAAACACAGCTTGGTCAGCTTGTGTTGGACTGCTTCTTCTCTCCACCCCTCTTCTTATTTATTCTCTGCTACAAGGGATAGCTCACTGGGTAGAGAAGGGGGAAGAAATATATTCAAAAATAAAAGTGATGTAAAATACATTAACACTTTTAGAAGAAAACAAATTGAGAGAATGATAAGGAAGAAATTTTAGAATTTAATAACTTGTCTTCATAAAGAAAGGCCAATGTACAACATATGGGAGATAACAAACACAAAACAGAAAAAATACTAAAGCTAAATATAAAGAGAGTGAAGTTACCAGAGAGAAACCAGAAAAAAGAGAAAAAAAAAAGATTGGAAGATCTCTTATTTTGGATCTAGTTTTTCTACACCTCTCTGCTAAAGCAACAAGAGGAACTCACGAGGGCAGCTTTATTGGGACATCAGATCCAAGTTCATACCTTAGAATCAAAAATGAAAAACTTGTTTCTCAGAGCTGGAGCATCAATTACATAAAGATCTTAAGGTGCTACACAGGGCAGAAAAACAAACAACTGGCTTGGAGCCTTCGAAACAACTCCAGGAGATTGTCTGCATAGAGTCATCTGACCTTTTCTAAGGAAAGCCTGTACACAAGCTAAAAGGTGACTCACCAAAGCATTCTACTCTGTTAGAGGCAAGCTTCTTCAAGTGTGCCAGATGTAATAGATGATACCCAATAAGTCAGCCTGGATAATTAGAAATATTTATTTAGTACCTCACACACACAGATATATGTATATATAAAATATGTACATATACACATACATATGTATTTATACATGTTTGTGTGTATATGTGTATATATAGTTATATGTATGTATGTATATGTGCATATATATATACATATATATACATATATATACACATATATACATATATATATATACATATATATACATATATATATTTATATATATATATACATATATATATATATATATATATGTAATCCACATGTATATACAATCTCATTTGTTTCTCACAATTCTGTCCTATTATTATCCCCGGTTTCCAGATCAGGAACCTGAGGCAGAGAGACGTCAAACTGTCTGAGGCAGGCATCAATCTTAGGTCTTCTAAGCTTCAAGTTCGGTGTTTTATGTACTATGCCACCAAACTGACTCAAAATATGCAATAAAATTCTTTCTACTCAAGCTCCAAATGTGGAATGAACTTCAGTTCTAAATGGAAACAGAAGGAACAGAAGTCCCGGGGACCATTTGAAAAAGAAGAGAAAGAGACAGTCACAGAATTATCCAGTTTGGTTTCCCATGTTCATGAGTGGGACATTTCCTAAAGGACCTGTGTGTCATCATCACAGTTCCACACTGAGTAGCCTTTCTGCTCGCCATTCTCACAATGTGAGCATCAGGCTGCCAGGATGGCACTAGATACCAAGAGCCAGCCTAGCCTACCGCGTGTGAGTACCCAATTATCAAGTGATATCATCTCTGCTTCAGTTGGAAAGAATGCTGTTGCTGAGAGCAGTTCAATAGCTCATTGAACATTCTTTTAGCACTTCTGATCATTGTTCTGCAGCTGTTCACATTCTCTCTCCTATATTCCACTCATGAGAACTAAGACTTGGTTTAGGTCTGGGGTTTTTGCAAACCTTAAAGCACTATAATAATGTCTTTATTATTATCCACACTCATATTCTGATGCCAAATTGAGATGCAGAAGAGACTCTGGCTTTTCAAAGATTATGCCAGTGGAGCCCAAGCTCTGGTAGGTTTAACCACACTGGATCCACTTGGTAAGTGCTCCCAGCAACAGCCTGAGTCTACTTTCTGGGGATCATGCTAGTTAATTAGGTTTTCCACTGAATTCTTGGGCCATGATAACTCTTGAAACCAAGAAAAATACAAAATGGTCCTTAGCCTTGAGAGTACCCCTTCTGATTTCTTTTTAAAAATTTTAAAATTAATTTTTAAAAATTTATTGACTAAAACAAGCATTTATACAACATAGTACAATAAAAATGATGATCATACATGAAACTGCAAATTTACTATGTACAACTTCCTATTTCTTTTAAATACACAACAAAATTATATGTGTATATATAATTTTCTTTTTTCCCCCTTTCCCCATCCCCACCTCAGAGATGGCTACCACTAAACATATATATGTATATGTATATATATATGTGTGTGTGTGTGTATATGCATATATATGTATACACACACATACACACACACACACACACACACATATATATATATATATATATGTAAAATCATTCAATATATACTTCATTTACCAGTTCTATCTCTGGATGCAGATAGCATATCTTCATATCTCCTTTATAGTTAATTTAGGTATTTACGATAGCCAAAATGACTTATTCACTCAAAGTAATTCTTCAAATAATATTGCTGTTACTGTAGACAATGTTCTCTTGGTTCTGCTCATTTTACTCTTCATTATTTCATGCAAGTCTTTCCATGTTTTTCTAAGATCATTGAGCTCAACATTTGTTATAGCACAACAGTATTCCATCACTATCATAAACCACAAATTGTTCAACTGTTCTCCTATCAATGGGCATCTATATAATTTCCAGTTCTTTGCCACCACAAAGACAGCTGCTTTTTCCTTAATCATCTTTGAAAATAGAAGTCCCTCTTTTGATTTCATAGTGAGTGGTGAGCATAGTGAGCATAGTGTTGGAAATGAGAGCAAAGGACACTATGAAGCAGACAGATTTTAGGCCACCTATATACTTTACCTTTACCTTAGCTAAATGTAAGATCCTTGTCTCGTGACCAATGAGTGGACCTGAGAGGGATTCAATTATATCAATCTTGATATTCTTGCTATAAAAGAAACCAGATGAAAGAAAGATGTTGCAGCTAAGTGGGGGAATGGTTCATAGTTGATGTTTGAAGAGGCAGATAAAGGAATGGACTCCATGACGTGCCCAAAGGCAACAAAGAAGCATCATTTTGTAGGATACTTGGTCATCTCATTTTGTACTACTCACAACAAGTATTTACAAAAAGACCTAGGAAAATAATCTTAGCTTATGGACCAGCACCTGTGCAGAGGATGAAGAAGCAGAAAAACTTTAAGAATTTGATAAGACCCTCCAAATGAGATCAAGATATAGTTGGATACTTGGTGATTTCAATGCAAAGGTCGAAATATATAATGATGACAAGAAACATATTGGGGAAAAAAATGGATTGGGAATAGGAAATGAGGGAGATCAAGAACTCAGACTACACGTAAACATGATGCCTACATGACATGATTATTTAAGAAAGGAATTGTAGGCAACAGGACATCACAACCACTGAATAAGATTGAAAATAAATTATTTGATGACATGAAATCAATCAATAAGCATTTATTAAGCACCTACTATGTGCCACACACTGTTCTAGGTGCTTGGAATATCAAAACAAAAATGAAATCCCTACTCTCCAAAAGCTTCTGTTCTGAGGATAAGGATAGAGACTTAATGGATGAAAGGGATTCTCTCGAAGGAGAGACCTACCTTCATTAATGCAAATTTGTACCTTCCCAGCAGAATGGGGGCTTAAGAAATTCACCTAACGCATTGAGATGTCAAATGTTGTGCCCAAGGTCACATAGCCAGTACATTTCAGAGGTGATATCTGAACCCAAGTCTTCCTGCATTTATACCAACTTTCCATCCATTATTTCGTGTTACTTCTCTGCATTCAAACAGTGGAACCAATGTACATATAAAGACATTTAAAAAAAACATACTAAAATATTAGTCAACTTTGACACTAGCAACTCAGAGAGCCAGTAAAGAACTCATGTAGAATATAATTCCTGAGCTGAATCTTGAAGGAAAATAGAGATGTCAGTAATTATTATTGTAGCTAGCATTGTTATTATTAGCATTTATATAGCACTTTAAGATTTGCAAAGAATTTTGCAAACATTTCATTTTATCCTCACAACAAGCTTAAAAAGTGGGTGTTACTATCACCCCCATTTTATAGATGAGGAAACTGAGGCAGATAGTGGCTAAGTGAACTTACCCAGGGTCACAAAGCTAGTAAGTGTCTGAGACTGGACTTGAACTCAGGTCTTCCTGATTTCATGTTCAACACTGTACTATCAAACCATGAGCTGCAGAGAGAAGAAAGGCCATGGAGGGAGTGCATTCCAGGCATGGGGAACAGTACAAAAACACAAGGATAGGAAATAGGAAGTGATATATAAGGAACAGCAAGGATAGTTTGATTGGACCATAGTGTGAGTAGAGGAAAGCAATATGCAATAAGGTTGAAAGGTTTGTTGGTTCTAGGTTGTGAAGAGCTTTAGATTCTTGAAAGTTATAGGAGTTATTAGAATCTCAGGGTTAGGCAGGGCATTAGAAATCATCTAGTTTAATGCCCCATCCAATGTAGAAACCCTCTTCATGGCGTCCTTAACATACAGCCATCCAAACCCCACTTGAACACTTCTGATCATTAGCTACTTTTCAAAGCAGCTCATTTTCCATTGTTGGATAGCTTAGTTGGTTTAAATTTTTTTTTCTCTCCTTCACTATATATCATTATCACATCATATTATTTCTATGTATTGCTCTTTGTTTTACCCTCTGGACCAATGCAATTCAATTCTGAGCCCTCTTCTACTTCATAACTTTCATAAAATCATATAATTATAGGACTGAAAGGAGCTTTAGAGATGATCTAGTCCAACCCGTTCACTTTATAGATGAAGAAACTGAGCTCCAGAGAGTCTAATAATAGAGCACATAGTACCTGACCATAGTGAACTTAGATGTAGTTAGGGATGTAAGGTAACCTTAATTATCTGTGTACATATCGTATCCCCCTAGTAGCCTGAATTCCTTGAAGTAGTGAATACTATATACATATATATATATATAATACATATGTATATATATGCACACACATACATATACATATATATGATACATATATACGTATATGAAAATATATAAAGAGTAAAATATATGTATTTAAAATGAAATATACACATTTTTGTTGTTCAGTAATTTTCACTCATGTCTGACTCTTTGGGACCCCATTTGGTTTTTTTTTTTTGGCAAAGATACTGGAATAGTTTGTCGATTCTTTCTCCAGCTCATTTGACAGATGAGGAAACTGAGGTTAACAGGGTTAAGTAACTTGCCCAGGGTCACACAGCGCGTAAGTAACTAAGGCCAGATTCGAACTCAGGAAGATGAGTCTTCATGATTCCAAGCTTAGTGCTCTACTCACTGCAATATATTCATCTTTGAATTCTCAATATGTAGCACTGTGTTTTGCATAGAATAAGTGTCTGATTAATGTTTGTGGCAGTGAATTTAATTAAAAAGTAAATAATACAGGGCAATATATTTTACCCAGTAGCCAATGAGTGGTACGTTGGATTGTTCATTTGAGGATAGCTATCATTTTCTTCCCCACCTCATCAAGAAGTCTTATTTTCTGTAGGTTAAATATCTGCAGTTCTTTACGTAGGTCCTAATATGAGATGAAGGGTGGAGATGGGGAAGGAATAAGCATTTATTAATCACCTACTATATGCCAGACAGTATGTCAAGAGCTTTGTGAAAATCTCATTTTGTGGTTTCCAAAGCCCCTAACCATCCTTGTTGCCTTCCTCTTGATTTTCTCATTTGTCAATGCTCTTCTTAAAATATAGTAGTACCCAGAGCTAAAACATGATA